AAAAAAAAAAAAAAAAATGGCTGTATGGCTCTTTCATTTGCAAGGGGTTGTTGAAAGAAAAAAAGTAAATAAAAGTGGCTCTTCCAATTAGGCAATCATATATCAAAGGGCTTAAAGCTATGCATACCCCCTTAAGCCTGCAATTCTGCTTCTCAAAAATGATCCTACATAAAGGCCATAAAATGTTAATATATAAAGCCATTTATAATTGAAAAAGAACTGAAACTACTATTTCTAAATAGTAGACTGTTTAAATTATATTATAGTACATCCATACAATAGAATAAAGCATATTACAAGAAAGTATAATACCTTTAAACATATATTTAGGGGAAAAAATCCAAAATATTCTGTAAAATACAGAATATTATTTTCTATTTTAGAGAATATCGTAGATTTTTATGTAGCTTATCTCTAATTAGTATGATTATAAATAATTTTAATATTCTTTTGCTTATCTGTATTTTCCAAATTTCTGATAATGAATGTGACCTTGAATAAATCATTAACCTCTCTGAGACTCATCTCCAAAATGGAGCTATACATACTGTACCTTTTTCATGGGGATGCTATGAGGATTAAATGAAACAAGAATCCTAGCACTCTGGGAGGCTGTAGCAGGAGAATGCTTGAGGTCAGGAGTTCAAGACCAGCCTAAGCAAGAACAAGACCCCATCTCTACTAAAAAACAGAAAAAAATAAAACTAGCCAGGCATAGTGGTAGGCGCCTACAGTCCCAGTTACTCAAGAGGCTGAGGTAAGAGGACTGCTTGCACCCAAGAGTTTAAGGTTGCTGTGAGCTATAATGCCATGATACTTTACCTAGGGTGACAGAGTAAGACTCTGTCTCAAAAAAAAAAAAAAAATAGGGTGGCACCTGTGGCTCAAAGGAGTAGGGTCCTGGCCCCAAATGCCGAAGGTGGTGAGTTCAAACCCAGCCCCGGACAAAAACTGCAAAAAAAAAAAATAATAATAAAATAAAATAAAAAATAAAAAAATAACCCAAACCAAGTTAAAAATAAAAAAGCCTGGAGCACACAATTGTTTTGCCTGCTTCTGTCCAGCCTTCAAGCCTGTTTCACATGCCATATAACTGGGATGTTGGGTGAAAGTGTCTACCAAGGCTATGGTTTACCTTGCTTAGTTTCAGGTATTTAACCTACCTAGGACTCCACTAGATTGTGAACTCCTTGAGAGCAAGTACCATCTTTGACATGCCTCAGCATGGTGCCTAGAAATACTTAGTAAAATAAAAATTCAGCAGCTATGTACTGGCATTCTCTCTGGCCTAGGAGCTGCACATGAAGGATGATGTGGGTATCAGACAGAGTCCCACAGTAAGTAGTGACTTGGTATCCCATAGGCCTGGGGCAAATAGCAGCATTTTCAGACAGGCAAAGGCTCAGAACAAGGGCAGGCTTCCTGTACTCCATGATCCATTCATCAGAATCCTATATGTCTATAAAAGTTATCTCCCACATTTTTGTACAGGTTGACATCTTTGCCTAGACTACTTATTTTCCTTCTCCATTTGGCTAATTCCTTTTTATTCTTTAAGGCACAGCTTCAAGGAACAGATCCTCTTGGAAGCTCCAGGCTTCTACTATGCCTCAACAATTCAGGTGGCTGGGACATCTCACTGAATTCCCTAGGTAGGGTCACCAAAGCACCTTAAGGAGTCCCTTACCTATCCTAAAGAAAAAAGCTAAAAACCACAAGAAAAATTCAAATCAGAGGATCAGGAAGAGTTTCTTGATGATGGGTAAAAGGCATTGGAGTGATGCAGTGGTTCTCAACCTGTGGGACCCCTTTGTAACAATGAAAATACATCGTGGCATTGGGAAGGTTGAGAACCACTGAGCTAAAGAGAGAAGATCTTTAAGGGTTTTTTTTCCCTTCCTTCAGGTGAGGGGAGTAGAAACTTCAAAAAAGCAAAAGATGCCTCAGGTGCTTGCAGGCCTGGGTTATCCAAGGATGAGGTTTTACCTGCTGGAGCATCTTTCTTCAATGTGGTCAGCCAGGGTTCTGAGTCGCAGACACAAGGAATGCTATCCACCTGGTCATAGGGTCTTGGGCTGGGACATGGCTTCAGCAATGGGCTCAGTTCTGGAAGAATCTGAGACGTGTCACCTCAAAGCCTGCCGAGTAAAAGACAAGGGCCATACACAAGTGACTCATGCCTATTCCTCCCACCAAACAGGATCAACTAAAATGAGAAGCAGGGCAGGCCTGGGCAGAGAGTGAGGGTCTGTCCTTTCCCTTGCCAACCAGGAAACAGAGGAAACTTTTATAATAGCCTTCAGGGGCTCACTGGGCCAGTTTTTTTACAAGGTTAGAGTTAGGACTGGGGCTGCAAATCTTCTAGTCATTATGCCTAGAGTCAACTCATGATGTTCTACGAAAGCAGTTGTGTAGTAGGGGAATCATACCTCAGCCATGCACTGAATGTGTGACCTTCGGTAAGCCAATTACCTACCTTAATTCCTCACCTTGAAAATGGGGCTAAATCAACTTCAGGAGAGGCTGGGAAAGTCAATGAGGTCATGGTTTGAAAGAATCATACACAATGCAATCCTGAATATTCATTCAGAGGGTGATTATTGGTAGCCCTACAACTAAGGGTTGATAAGCTATCTGAGAGCACTAATCAGGTGGAACAGTACAGGGTCTACTTTAAGAAGGTGAGGATTTCAGGGGAAGGGAATCCATCTGAGAGAAAGGGTGTTGTGAGGCTGGGTCTAGGACAGCATCTGAAGAATGGTGAGTTTTCCAGACCTAAGCACCTCCCCTGGCAAGGAGGGATAAGGATGAGGGGTTGCTTGTAATAGATTAAATCTGGTGGGACTTTCTTGAGGCCCCAAGTACATCTTTAAAGAACCCAGGGATAGAGACTTTCATGGAAACTGGAAACAGGACAATTCAGGCAGAAAAGGACAATAATTCTGTATTGGACATATTCACCTGACACTGATGGGACTCCACCCAAGGGATAGCCATGCAAAGACCTCAGGAGCTCAAGGAGAACAAACTCCTTCAACGGGAAACTAATCTTAAGAGGTAAGTACCACGGGAGAGCACAATAGATGGTGGGGTAGACTCCAAAGCCCACAACTCCCTCCCCCCAGGCAGGTCACAAGAACACTCTAAACCTTATTGTTTCCTCCTTTGCAAAATGGAATAAAAATATCCAAACCACACAGGGCTAAGGATCAAATGGGCTAATACCAGTGAGAGTGCTTTGCAAATGTTATTATGATGCAGCGTCAGCTCCCAGCTGGCGTCAAGTCTGATTAGGGCGGTTTTCTCTAGTTCTCCCAGGTCCTATTTCAGTTGGCTGTGCAGTTACCAGCCAAGAATTTGTGGAAAGGGTGTGACCACTGTGGGCAGAAGGGAGGCGGTAATGAATAGATGGAACAACGAGTCAAGGCAAGTAGCAGCCTGATCACTGGTTCCTCCTCCTCCTCAGCCTCAGTTTCTTTCTTGGCAGGGAGAAAGACTGTG